CCGTCCCTCTGACGGACCCTCTGTCCCTCTGACGGACCCTCTGTCCCTCTGACGGACTCTCTGTCTCTCTGATGGACTCTCTGTCCCTCTGACGAACTCTCCGTCCCTCTGACAGACTCTCCGTCCCTCTGACGGACTCTCTGTCCCTCTGACAGACTCTCCGTCCCTCTGATGGCATGCCTCTGACGGACTCTCTGTCCCTCTGACGGACTCTCCGTCCCTCTGACGGCGTCCCTCTGACGGACCCTCTGTCCCTCTGACGGACCCTCTGTCCCTCTGACGGACTCTCTGTCCCTCTGACGGACCCTCTGTCCCTCTGATGGACTCTCCGTCCCTCTGACGGCGTCCCTCTGACGGACCCTCTGTCCCTCTGACGGACCCTCTGTCCCTCTGATGGACTCTGTCCCCTCTGTGTCTCTCCTGTCAGACGTGTGGGAGCGTGACCTGGTTGAACTGGTCCTGGAGGTTCCCGTTTCCCAGATCTCCAAGCGTCAGCGTGACCTGCTGCTCCGTCAGGTGGGGGTCCTGCTGGGCGTGCTGGATGGTGACATCATCGTCAGAGAGATCAGTGCCTTTAATGAGCACAGGTAAGCCCCGCCCACCTGTTTAACATCCTGACTGGTCAGAAAGGAACAAACAGAATCATTGAATAGAGCGCTGTAGGAGTGGCTGATGGAAAACCTGTTGATGGTCACTAGGCGAGGAGAGATACCCCAGAATGCTTTGCAGCAGGTCTCCTCTCAAAGATTTATGGGATTTGTTTTGGGGTGAGGAAGAACAAACATGGCGCCGTGGAAGGAGGCGGAGTCACATGACCAACAGGGAATGAAAAGTAGTGATGATCAGTGGTGGATGAGTTAGGGCGGACGTTCAGACAGAACGCCTGGGTTCACTGCGTCGCTCCTCTTCCTCAGCACCCGTCTGGTCTTCCTGGTGTCGGGCGGTCCAGAGCGCCCCCCTCTGCCCGGCCGCAGTGTGACGCTCAGCCTTCGCAGCAAACTACGCAAACAGAAGAACGACTTCCTGATCTTCAAAGCTCAGCGTGTCGACACGGTTGGTGAGTTCAGACGGGAAACCTTCATCATCCTGAAGCTCTGAAGGTTTCAGATCTCCATGAAGATCCCAGGAAGGATCAGGAGTTTAGGACACTCTTCCTCACCTCCCTCCTCTTCCTCAGTCTGCCAGCTGAACTGCTCCGGCCACGGAGAGTGTGACTCCTTCACTCGGAGGTGCGTCTGCCACCCGTTCTGGATGGAGAACGTCATCAGAGCCCAGCTAGGGGATGCAGAGAGCAACTGTGGTGAGACGATGATGATGATGATGATGATGACAATGATGATGATGATGATAATGATGACGATGATGACGACGATGATGATGACGATGATGATGATGATGATGATGATGATGATGATGATGACTGAGCTGTTGTGACACGAATTTTCTGCCTCCAGATTGGAGCGTGCTGTACGTCACCATAGCATCCTTCATGATTGTGGTTGCTATGGCAACGCTGGTCTGGTTAGCCGTCTGCTGCTGCAACAGGTGAGTTCACTTTTATCCGATCTGCGGTCTCTGCTCTCTGATTGGTCACCAGCTGCTGCTGATGACGCCGCATGTTTCTGCTTCCTGGAAGGCGGAGGAGCAAAGTTCGCCGCAGCAAAAGTCGTTATAAGATGCTTGAAGGCGAAGATCAGGACGTCTTGGAGCTTCAGCCGCCAAGAACCAGTAAGAAACAAACACACAGCTGGTCCGCATCATCATGGCCGTCCCTGATTTAACAAAACCAGAACCCAGACCCAGATCTTTGAGAACTCCTCAGAGAACAGATCAGAAATGTTTGAACACCTTAAAGAACAAACCTTCAGCCGGCTGCAAACAGCAGCGTGTTTCAGGAGGATCGGCTAATGTTGGTAATAATGAGGATAAAAGAAACGACAGGAAAGAGTTCCTACTGTTGGTTCCGCCTCTGATCAATGGTGAGTTATTGTTCTTTAAGGTTGGGTTTTAAAACTGAAATGAGGATCGAGGAGGTAGAGGAGGAAGATTGATGAGGTGGAGGAGGAGGAAGATCGATGAGGTAGAGGAGGACCAAGATCGATGAGGTAGAGGAGGACCAAGATCG